CCATCCATCCATCCATCCATCCTTCCTTCCTTATTTACTTAGCAGAACTGTTTCTCCATCTATCCATCTGCTCATTTCTATTTCCATGCATTCATCTTTGTGTCCATCCATCATTTATTCTGTGTTTCTGTCCATCCACTCATCTGCCTGTCTGTCCATGGATCCATCCATCTGCCTGTCTGTCCATCCATTCATCAATGTCCATCTATTTGTCCGTCTGTCTGTTTAACTATCCATCCAATCATTGATGTATATTTATTTAATCTTCAGAAGAAACAGGGATTTCCGAATTTATTCTCCAAATCCTGAACCAGTAGACAGCGAAGTAGATGGTGAAGCAGCTCATGATGAACACAGACATCATGAGAACATGAGTGAGGACGAAACCTACCAAATGCCTGAAAGTCAGCAAAACGAAATTGTAAGGAAAGAAACAGTTTGCGAAGAACAAGACGCGGTAAGAATGAACGATAGAAACAATTGTAATTATTGAATATGATATCAACCTACAAGAGCACTAGACTTGTCACTATTAGCCGTTCCTGGGTCTCAAGTTGGCATTGCGGTGCATTGTGGGCTGTTTTAGGGGACATATTTCCAAAATGGCGTCTATCCTGGTCAAAGTCGGTTAGCACTCGTTCACATGGACCAAAAAGACCTTTGAGTGTCAAACAATAGAACAATGCACTGTAAAGCCCCGTTTACACTAGCGATTTTTGCTGCGATTTTTTTTTTTCCGATTTTGTCCATAATAAATAATGGTAAAGAATTTACTCGTAAAGTTTTTTTCAGAATAACAAAATTTTCCTAGACGAATGTATCTTTTGAAAGATGAGACAAAAAATTTCATATTTCCGAAAATTGCCACAAAAATCGCCGCAAAAATCGCCGCAAAAATCGCCGCAAAAATCGCTAGTGTAAACGGGGCTTAATGCAAACTCGACCCATTTTTTCCCCTCAATCTCGGAACGGTCAGTATTGTTTGATATTGACGGGTTGCAAGCATTCTCAAGAGAGTTCAAAGACAAAAGCATGGCGGCCATTGTGGTGCCGTTAACAATGGATGCAAATGAGAAGTATTTTCATGATAATTTGTCTTATCAACCATAGATTTAATGTTCCGAGCTTTCGGCCTACTCGGCCATCCTCAGGGAAATGAAAAACGTTACATATTGAGAAGTATTTTTTTAAATGGCACAACGCTCCCCCGAGAGGGCACGATGACGTAACGTGCAATCGAAGAATATTTAGTATTCCAGTTAGCATGAGGTTTCAATGCACTGCCCCATAGTGCATTGCACACCGTCTATAAATAATTCAATATTAACGAAGTCCAGAGAAGAATTTGCAAAAAAAAAAAAAGAAAAAATTACGTGACCATGACAGCGGTAATTCTCTTCAAACAATCACGCCATGCGCGCTGTGATAGATATCTCAGTTGTCGTCCATACCTTAGTGTGATCGTACCTTGTGCCTTAATTTTTCGAAGTCGCAGAAATCACGAGCGCTGATTGGTTCAACCGAAGTCGAAAAAGTCTTACTTTTGCCGTGCCGCTCGTCGATTCGACCACAGGTAGCCCAAGAAGTTCGTAAGGTAATTCTATAAAAATATCCAATAGGAAGTAAGAAAATACTTACTTTTAACAAATTTAAACAACACTATCTTTCTTTAACTGATTCTCAGCACTACAGCACTAAAATTCCTGTTAAACGTTTTTCGTTCTGCATTTTTCTTGTGCTTTTCTTTGCTCTCTATCATGTAAGTCATTACTTGGGCTGCCTGTGATTCGGCTGACTGCCATTCTCGGCTTGACCCCAACTGTCAATAATACAATGGACTACTTCGAGGATGCGATGGCATTCTTGAATCGCGAGGCGTTATGGGTCGCCTAGGGGGGAAAACGAAACAAAGATACTGAAACGACGACCCCACGATGTTTGAGAAATTTCCTCAGTTGTGGAACTGTTCACTTATTTTAATTCATCTCTTGTCAAATTGTCTTGTTGTGAACCGTAAATGTCAATCGACCCCATTAAAACTCAAGAGCATGCGCGCTTAGCCTTGAATCCAGCAGTTGTTGGTTTTGTTATTCTATTTTTTGCTTTTGTTTACCGACCTCAAAAGTGAGGCTAAACCCAGAGTCGTCAATATTCCCCTTCACAGTTCCCTGCGCCATCTCGGAAGGTAGCCATGCCTTTGCATCGAAGCGAGACGAACGGTGAGATTGCAATGATAGAGACATGAATATTTGTCCAAGTTGTCAAAAAGAGGCGTCTTTATTTCAAGCTCACCTTTCATCTCGCTTCGATGCAAATGCACTACTACCTTTCGAGATGGCGCAGTGAACTGTGAAAGGGACTATTGTAACGAAGCTTTGTATATTTGCCGCGTGGAGTACCCATAATGCCATTTGATTCAAGATGGCCGCCGCATCGTCGAAGTAGTCCTGGCTAGTGGTCTAATATATAGTCTAATTTCTTTTCATCAGATTGAGCAGGCGGAGTGGGAGATGGTAGAGACTGCAGATGTTGCTGGCTACGATGAGAGCACGGAACAACACGGGTTACCGGCTCCAAGTAGACTAACCAGGAAACACGCCATCAAGAAATCTCCCAGTGTTTCGCGAAAGGCATCATGGTAAATATTGGGGAGTGCATACTACACAGGGTATCCCATTTTAAATATTTCTGGTTTTCGATCATTCCGTAGGGAGTGAAATAACAAGGACACGGAGGCCATATTGGTTGATATAACAAAATAATTCATTGATAAGTCTTTTGTTAAATTTAATCAAGATGGCGGCTATGACGTCATGTGCAAACAAAGAATACTCATTTTTTCCTCCAATAATCAATTAGTAGTTAAAATAAGCTCCACCTTAGCCCCCTGTAAAGATACTAACCGGCCCTTGCTCAGCCGAACAAAAAATTAATAAGTATAAATTATTGTTATTAGTTTTATAAATGTCATTGTATAATATCCGTCGCTGGATGAAATAACGCGGAGCAATCAAATCCAAGCTTTATTTATAATAAGTTACTATTTTTAATTTTAGGAATGAAAGAAATGCGGAATTGTTACGGAACGTCGACTCGGGATTAAAGATTAACAGTCGGAAAAAGTCCATACCATTCGTAAGTATACACTTATTTCAATCAAGTTAGTCACCAAAAAACCTAGAAAGCTGAGATCACTGAGGATCAAGGGAATTTTTTAATATCAAACAAGTAAAGCTTTTGATACGATTTGCAGCTTGAGGATGCTCAGAAGAGGTGAGACTGTAACTGGTAAAAGATCTAAAATCCATCAACAGTTATTAAAGCGGTTGAAACATGTAAAATGTAACTACCCATAATCCTTGTTGGTCTCAGCTTTGTAGCTTTTCAGGCGACTAACTTTATTGAAATAAGTGTGTGCCAATATTTCCTAACTGAAACCATAAGTCCTTACAGAACTGACTTCCGGTTACTCAGTTCCGGTTTATGCTCACTCCTGTGTAAGTTGTCTTTAAATAACTCCACTAAGATTGAAAGTCATGACTTCGTATCATTTTGTTTGTCAAAAGCATCATCAACGATTGGTTGCAAAACGAAGCTTTCCTGCCCAGCTAAACCTTGCTCAGAGAGCCAACTTGGACGATGAAGAATTGGTAAGTTACACGTTTAGCAATGTAGCAATATGACTGCGTACTCGAAACAAAATGAAAGTGGTTTCCTTCATCGGTTGGGGAGAGAGAAAATAACGACGCTGAATAAAAGGATTTTCTTCATCGATTGAAGAAAAAGTTGTACAAAAATAACGCTGTGCTGGAATTCACGTCAGTCCTTAAATTGTTATTTCTTGGTCTTTATAAATCGTGTTTTATTAATTTAACTCTGCTTTACAGACAATAACTTCAAAAACGGAAGTATTTCTAGCTTGCATTGATTTCGTTTTGTTACATTAATCTTTATATCTTTTAAATAATCAGTAAATCGCCAAAACTAAGGAAAGGAAATTCCATGAAAGATTTTTAATTGTATAGCTACAAAGTGAAATGCTGCTTGAACTCTTTTTCTCTCAGACAGCCCGCGTTGTTAGCCGTGATTTGTTCCTCTATATATCTTGAACAGTTCTTTGTGTTCTTTCACTATCGTTAAAAAATACGTTCGTGTTCTACAAGGTCTACAGTTCCTCACAATGAATCTCGAAAGCAAAATAGAAAAGAATCAGGCATTTCAATGAAATGATGCATAAAACACTAGATGCTTTTTCTGAATTCAAATACAAATGCTTTTTCCTCAGAAACAACACGTCTACAAGAAAGCATTACAAGCATTAATATATCCAATCTCAGGTAAATCTTTTCGTAGCAGAAAATATTTTTCTCATTATTCGTCATTTCACCTATTTAAAAAATTACCAGATTGTCTCTTTTAAACTATTACACACCATGTCCACGATATTAAAGTGAATACTATTTCCCATTGTAACCTTGTTTGACAACAAAATTTAGAATACTGCGTTATGAACGACGTGATTTTCCGTGTCGTGACCGCGTGACAGTTTGTGCGCGCGGGTTTTTATTTCTGCAACATGTACAAAATTGTTTCTCTCAAACTGAAGCCGGAAATTTACACTCTAACTGGTATAACCGGTAAAACAGGCTGAAGTTTAAAACTGGGCCGTTTATCCTGGATTTTTTCGCACTTGATCTTAGTACTGTATTACATTATTGATGTGTGTTAATGGTTTGTAGATACAACGCCACATAATTTTGAAGTTTGGTCGACACAAGTGCCTGCATACTGCTATGAGTGTGAAGGGCTTCTGTGGGGACTGGCGAGGCAGGGATGCAAATGTAAAGGTAAACTGGATATGATTATAATGATGATGATTATTATATTTGATATTATTATTAATAATAATGATTATTTTATATAATAATATTATTATAATGACCTTACATGACGATGGCAATCATGATGATGATGATGGTGATGATGATGGTGGTGATGATGGTGATGATAGTCATGATGATGATGATGATGGTGGTGGTGATGGTTGTGGTGATGATGATGATGATGGTGGTGGTGATGATGATGATGATGATAGTCATGATGATGATAATGATGGTGGTAATGATGATGGTGGTGATGGTGATGGTGATGTTGCATGATAATGGTGGTGATGAGAATAGTGGCGATGGTGATGGTGGTGTTGATGCCACTAATGGTAATAAAGATGTATTCGGTGGTGACGACAATGATTTAACATTTGTGTCAACATTTTCTCTCTCAGAATGTGGCGTCAAGTGCCATGAGAAGTGTAAGGATTTATTGAACGCTGACTGTCTTCAACGTAAGTGGAGCCGCAGACAACGAGAAAAATATTTATAAAGTTTATCAACGACGTGACATGCGCAGCAATAATGAGCTGCTGAGTCACTGCATGCAATCTTCACTGAGCGTGTGCTATGGTAGGGAAACGAAATGAGAGCACTTCTCTTTTACTTTTATAAGGCGCGGCTGAGAAGTCAGTAAAACATGGAACAAGAGACAAGACAGAGACCATCATCGTGGCAATGCAGAGAAGGATGGAAGACAGAGAGCGAATGGCGCCAGATATATTTGAACTCATCAGGTAATTCCTTGCACTCTTTTCAAGACTTTTTAAACTAGTTTAAAGTTCATTTGGAAACATGGGGATTCCGCAAAACAAAGAACAAAAAAACTTCAACGAAAACTTTAGACCTTCTATGGCTCGGGAGACTGAGAATTGACTTCTATGAGATCGACGTAAAGTAATTCACAGTCTTATGCCACAGATCATATCAGATAGTGGAACAGGATTGTGAACGGATTGTCGTAATATAAATTGCTGTTTCATTGTGATATTCTCAGGGAAGTTTTCCATGTGAACCCCAAGACTCACGCTGGACACTTGAAGGCCGTCAAGAAGCAGATATCCATGGGCACTTCAAAATGGTCGGCTAAGATCGCTATCACAGGTTAGTGAGCAATACTAGTCAGCGATGCCGCGCTATATGTCTGCGTGACCGTTAGTTTACTGCAGTTTTCCATATTCTGCGAGGCTGCACGCTGAAATTTGGTTTTTCGCTGCCGTCAATCAAAGATAATCAGTCGTACTTTTTATGTTCTTGACTGACCCCAGTAAAAAACCGATTTCACAACAAGCCGTTGAAATGTTGTAGTTCCCAGAATATCGAAAACCACAGTAATAGTCTTGAATTCGCTGGAGTGACTACGAAACAATAGCTTACTTTGCTTTCGTGAATTCAAAATAAATAACGTTATTTCCTTCTCGTTTTTCAGTGGCCAGTGCCCAAGGTCTTATTGCTAAGGACAAAACAGGTATGAATGGTCCCCTTACCGTTATGTATATTTTACAATATCCATGACAACCAGGTTTCCATGACAACTAGCTATTTTGTGGTGTCGTAGGTACAAGTGACCCGTATGTGACTGTACAAGTTGGCAAAACCAAGAAAAGAACGAGTACAATACCACATGAGTTGAACCCAGAATGGAACGAAACTTTCTACTTGTAAGTCAAAATACCTCTTTTAGTGATATTCATTTCTCCCGACTCCGGAAAAAATCGACGTGTGAATTGAGTCTACAAGATGATTGTAACAACGACACTAGAGAAAAACGTTTGCGCATGCGTGCATTTTAACACGTTTTCTAAGAATTTTGAAGAGTTTGAGTGAGAAAATAAATGTTTGTTTCCTGCAAGTATACGAAAAAGTTCGAGATTATACTTTTGTCAGACCAAGATACTGTATTAACAAACACAATTAAATGGACAATAAGTTTTGGCATTTTGTGAAGTCCAATTTATCAGGCATGTTTGAAAGCCAAATTTACATATGTTTTGACTAATTTGCATACGGATTCAGAGCATGCGCAGACGTTTTTCACTCGTGTCTGTAACAACTGTTTGTTTTATAACGAGAAAACCCCTCATATGCAGTCGATACACTGATAATAACTCAGCTCTCTTTTCTTTTCTCTGTCTCACGTAGCGAGTGCCATAACTCGTCCGACCGCATTAAAGTTCGAGTGTGGTAAGTAAACGATGTGATGGAGTCGTAGTTACTGCATCGTACTGACCGTCTTTCTAATGAATGATTTGGTATCGTTTTTTCAATACGATTTTGCATTATTTGTGGTTGTTAGGGATGAAGATGACGATATCAAATCTAGAGTAAGACAAAGATTGATCAGAGAACCTGACGACTTTCTGGGACAGACGATCATTGAAGTACGGACACTGAGTGGAGAGATGGATGTCTGGTATAACCTAGGTGAGTAGTGGGTAGACAGACAGACAGACAGACAGTCATAAGAGACGCAGACAAATAGACCGAAAGAGAGCAAAAAATCTGGAGATTTGGATTTTTTTTCTACGGGTTAAAATGCTTTTACTTGTTTTTGTTTCCAATAGAAAAAAGAACAGACCGTTCGGCCGTGTCAGGTGCCATTCGACTCAAGATCAGTATCGAGATAGAAGGAGAAGAGAAGGTCGTCCCTTACCACACCCAGTACACATGTTTACACGAAGTATGTAATATATAGCATAACTATGCTCTGATTGGCTAATTGTCTGGTGCGCGCACCTTAAGAATCAATAGACCTCTTTATCTTGGGCGTAATGGTTTTCCATTTCGGACCAGGTGTCATTCTCTTGAGAATAAAATTCTTTGTTTGAGTTGTAGAGTGCACGCACTAAAACCGTGAACATTAAATAGTACTAATTTGTACTATTTCATACAGAATCCTTTGTTTTCTATTGTTTAATTATCACTATTTAGTGCTAAAAATTAGTATTTGTTTCACGGATTTAGTGTGAGCACTCTATCCATATTCATGTGTCTTCTTTTGCACAACCCTTAAACAAAGAAATGATACTCTAGGGAATGACACGTGTTCTGAGGGTCTATTGTCATCATTTCCGATCTCGTGGTATTTTTATCAGCTGAGCACGGTTGTACGAAGCCTGGATAGCGCTATCGGACGGATAAATCTTATCCCTTGGATAAATATACTGGATAACAGCATCGACTTATCCACTGCATAGAGATTTATCCGCTGAATAGCGCTATCCACCCTTCGTACAACCGAGCCCTGGATGGGAAGTTCTCAACAGAAATGTGCCTGAATGATTGAGTATTTGTCCATCACTGAAGGCCGGTAAAGAGATTCATGAGATTCAATCAGCTTATTCTCGGATGTAACAATTTTGGGTATTCTGGTTGAGTGACTAAGCACAAAACATTTCAACTCGAGGCTTTGGGGAAACAATGCAGTCGTATTTATTCTTTTGTTTCCATGGAGCCTCGACTCGAATTGCTTTGTTCTTTATCACTCAACCAGAATATCAAAAATTGGCAGATTTATGAAGTGCCTTCAGATAGCAATACGTCTGTCTATGATAGGAAATTTATCTCTGAGTAACACTAACATTAATTGATATCATTCTGTTCCATAGAACATCTTCCACTACCTTTGCCAGAAGCACGATGGACAGTTCCCCATACCTAACGCATCTGGGGTAAGCACAACATTACGATACAATCTTCTTGCGTCTATCAACATTCTGCTCAAATTTGTTTTGCCAAAACAGCTAGTTTCTAGTTTTAAAATCAATAATAATATCCTAATAGCCTGACAGATGGTGATGCTTACTAGTGGTTGCTTGTCAGACAAGAAACACTTGGATGTGATTCAGGATTATCAAAGCCGATTTACACGGTACGATTTTTGATCACAACTGTCGCGCGCAATATGCTGACGACACGAGTTGCTTCGTGTAAATTGACCGTACGACTTGCTTACAACTGTAAATGGCAGCTAAAACTTGGCGTAAGCATGTTGCGCGCGACAGTTTTGAGGAAAAATTGTACCGTGTAAATCGGCCTTTAGGCCCCGTCCACACGTATCCGGAAATTTTTGTATCCGCAAATTATTTTTTTGCGGATACGAAAATGTTTGCGTCCACACGCAGCGTATTCGAATCGTTTTCACCGTCCACACGTATCCGTTTTCGTGAAATTTGCGGATACGGATACAAAAATTTCCGGACACGTGTGGACGCAACCCGTATCCGCAAAAAAAATTTGCGGATACAAAAATTTGCGGATACGTGTGGACGGGGCCTTAGACAAAGAAAATATAAAAGGTCTGTGCAACTACCAATGTATATGTCGAAACGTATCCACAGTTCAAGCAAAAACTAGAAGATGATCAATGTACCTTTTTCTTTAGAGAGAAGAGCCGTGGAAGATTTTCTTTCCTCATCCATCTCTCGAGATAGTCAACGAGTTCGCGATGAGATATGGAATAGAGAGCATATACCAAGCGATGACGTAAGTACATGACGTAGCTCTATATGTAAGTGGTAGTGTATCAAATGACGTTGTGTATATATGTGTGTGTTTGCAATAATATATGACTAGAGAGCATATACCAAGCGATGACGTAAGTACATGACGTAATTTAATACAGATAAGTAATATAATAACTTAAGTGCTGGGGTATAGCAGCTGATGTATGTGTGCGATGAAGAATAGAGCGCATCTAGCAAATAATGTAAGCAAAGGACGTAAGTCGATACGTAAGTGCTGACGTAATGAATGCCGCGTTTTTGCAGGCATTTTTCGTGCTTGACGTCATGCTACATGCATCCAGGAATCCCAGCTGTTATCAGTAGTCTATTGGCCAATATCAACGCGTTTTTCTCACACACCACGGCCAACTCTGCTACTTCAGCTACTCATCGATTTGCAGCCACCAACTTTGGAGTAAGTACAATCAGAAATTCCTCATAGACAGGCAAGTGATTGAGATTCTTATTCATTAAAGAGGGAAAGACAAAGAGAAGGAAATACAGAGATGTTTCAGTGCATTTAGGAAGATGAGTGGGTGGATAGGGACTTAGGACTGAAGAGACAGACCAACGGACGCTTTATTCTAGAGTGAGAGAGACTGATGGATGGTTGAAGTCAGATAGATAGATATGCAGCCAGATAGACAGGCAGACAAAAAAGTGACGTATTCACAGAAAGGTAAAGCATAAGTGGTCAGGCAGACAGACCTATAGACAGACAAAATTATTGACAGACAGCAAGAACAGACCTACAGACAGACAGACAGAAAGACAGACAGACAGAGCAGCCAGAAAGACAGAGCTATAGAGAGACACAAAGACAGACCTATAGACAGACGGTTTGAGAAGCCAGGAACAAAAGGATGGACGACTTATATATCATCCTTATACATCAATCTTTCTTTCAGAGCGACAAGTTTGTAAAGATAATCGATCATCTTCACAATACTTTGAGGATCGACATGGCGAATTATCGAGTAAGAACAAATAATCCAAGCGTCACCTTACTGGAATAAAGCGTTTTACGTATCACAAATTCTCTACTCTCTCCGCTCTATATCTCCCTCCATACATACCTCTTTTTCTCTTGCTACCAAAACTACCACTCTAATTTTGCAAAGCAAGACTGCTAAGAAGCTTGTGGTGCAAGGTTTGGAGAAATTATGACAGTTTGTATTGTTGTGACTTTTCACTGATTTCAGTCACATTGTCCATAGTGCATTTCGGGCTTGGTATGCAACAAAATCTTTAACAGCCATTTTTGAAATACAGTAGCTCTAATCCTATGCACTAAAAGTCGTTACTTCGTGCGTGGTTTTCTTTTCAACTTTCGTGGAAGACGAGTTTACACCAACAGTTTTTGCTAATATCTTATCTTATTACCTTGTTACAGACAAACTTCCCCTCTTCAAGTCAAGAGAAGCTAACAGATCTGAAGTCATCAGTTGATCTTCTAACGAGTATAACATTCTTCAGAATGAAGGTAGTGGACTGCGGTTTTATCCAGGATGGTTGGCGTATATGGTGAAGGTTATTTTCTAATCTTTTTCTTGTATTGCATTGATAGGTTTTAGGACAACGACCAACCAGAACAGCTGAAATCGTTGCTGAATGTGTCAAGGTACTAATATATTTTAAAGCTTCAAATAGTTTTATCGACACCCTGAAACAACCTCTGGGCTGTTCTAAGGGCACGGCTTACTCACAGATGGAACACTAAAACAACCTTTGGACTAATCAAAGTCAAGGCACGGCTAGCTAACTCACAGTTTCAATTGGAACTATTTAGCTTGCTGCGGAGGGAGGAAAACCGGAGAAAAAACCCTCGAATCAAGGGAGAGAAGTAACAAACTCTACTCGTATGTGAAGATGACGGTACATATTATTCCCCTCCTCCCTCCTGCCAAAATCACTTTTATCCCTGCTATTTCCACAATCCTTTCCCCATCGGCTGCCACTTTTGTTCCTCCTCAAGTCCTGTCCTTCCTCTCTTTATCCTTCCTTCCTTCTCTCCCTCCCTTCTTCCTTCCTTCCTTCCCTCCCTTCTGCCCTTCTTCCCTCCTTTCCCCCTTCCCTTCTTCCCTCCCTCCCTCCTTCCCTCCCTCCTTCCTTCCTTTCCTCCCTTCATTCCTTCCTCTCATCCATCCTTAGTTCTTCATCCCTTCTTCCCCCATAGACCACCTTCTTTCATCCCTCGTCTACTTAGAATGTCAGGATCAATGCTAAGATACAGTGCCGTCATGGTCACGGCACCTTTTCACCATACACTTATCAAAGCCATACAACTGACCTCTTCTCTAAATAATGTTTCTGCACCTACCTTTATCGTCTCGTTGACTTTAACCCCATTTTTCCAGAACTGCATGAAAGCCACGTACGCTTTCCTCTTCGCTAACTGTGTCGACCTCTACGACCGTGAGCTCTCCTCCGATCGCACAGCGCTAGATTCACACGAGTTCCAATCTGGACCAAAAAACCTGGACTTCTGGCCAAAGCTTATTTCACTCATTGTATCTGTCATCGAAGAAGATCGAGGAATTTACACACAAATCTTGAACCAGTAAGTTATTGTTTAAAAAATCTGAAAGTAAAGGTTGAAAGTAAATTACCCGTGTTGCCGTGCGTGTATGTTTTATTGGGGGGGGGGGGGGGGGAGGTTTCACCATTACTGAGATGCTAAGGCAGTTTTCGTATGACTGTGAAAAGCTCACGGCACGAACGCGGTCGTGAAACGGCAAGGGATACGCCAGACCAACTACATTGTTTGAGAATTTACCCTCGATCCAATCAATACCGGAACACGGCATAACACGGCGTGGACATCACATTGCGCGAGAAAAAAATCAGCCAATTAAAATTCAAGAAAACATGACGGGTCACGGCACGGCACGGCACGCTTACGGCACTGAGCTTTTCACAGTCATGCGAAGACTGCTCTATTCGCGTATCGTAACCGTACCGTACCGTGACCGTGCCGTGTGATGTGTATTTTTTTCATAGATTTCCCACCGAGTTGAATGTTGGCGAGGACAGTGCGCAGATGTTTTGGAACCTTTTCACGCGGGATTTGCAAGAAATGCTACAAGGTGAAGCAGTCAAGACGATTATTTGCGATCAAAACGTTCACTGAACTTGGCCTAAAATTGGGCATAATGTTTTCCCATTACATGCAGAGTATGTCAGTAGTCACAAATACCAACGACCGGTAAAGTAGAGAATGCAAAAATACAAACTCTTCGAAATTCTACGGGCTATCACTCGAAAACATGAATATTCTACACAGAATCGAGCATAACCCGAGCACGTGTTATTCACTCGAGAAATTAAAAAATTATTATTTTAAATCTTGTTCATATCGTGCCGAACCGTTAGGCTTAGGTCAAACGTCGAACTTCATTTGAGCCGAACCTAATGACATAAAAAAAGACCGGTTTATGCATTGCGTCAATTAGGTTCGGCTCATGTGAAGTTGGACGTTTAACCTGGGCCTAACTTTACCAGTGAAGAAAAAAATGATACTCAAAGGAATGCGAGGAGTTTAAAGGAGGAAAAGCTGACATCATTATATATATATATTTTGGTTGATGACAGACCACAGCCTTCACCAGGAATGGACGAGTGCAGATTACATGAATCTCCAATTCAAAGTCAAGTGGTTCTATAATGAATACGTCATGACTACACCGGACAACAGGGGTAAAATACCCGAGTATACCAGGTGAGTAATGCTTATGGGTGTGGTGCTTGCTTAGACTAGTCAGCTTTATATCGAGCCATAAAACTTTATACTTCTGGGCCGATCAAAGTCAGGGCATGCCTAACTCACTGATCGAACCCTGAAACAACCTCTGGGCTGATCTAAATCAGGGCATGGCCAAATCACACATCGAACCCTGAAACAATGGCTAATGGCAATGGCTAACTCACAGAGCGAACCCTGAAACAACCTCTGGGCTGATCTAAATCAGGGCATGGCTAACTCACACATCGAACCCTGAAACAACCTCTGGCCTGATCAAAGTCAGGGCATGGCTAACTCACAGAGCGAATCCTGAAACAACCTCTGGGCTGATCAAAGTCAGGGCGTGGCTAACTCACAGATCCAACCATGAAACAACCTCTGGGCTGATCTAAGTCAGGGCATGGCTGACTCACAGAGCGAACCCTGAAACAACCTCTGGGCTGATCTAAGTCGGGGCACGGCTAACTCACAGACCATAGCCTGGGCTGATCATGATTTAACTATGAGTTTGTTTTAATTGGCAGCTGGTTTGAAGCATTTGTTTCGCAATGGCTGACAGAAAACGATGAAGTATCAATGGACTTCATGATAGCTGCTCTCGAACGAGACAGAAAAGACGGGGTAACGTTATGTCTTTAGTCGCTAGACATTTTATTGCTTGACTTGAGCGGCGATTTCAATGGCAATTTTATCTAACCCCAAAATAGTCGCACTTGTTAACATCCGGCTATTAGTTATGGCGATTTGACGGCGACATAGATGAGATCTCTTGCCGTAAAATCGCCATTGAAATCATTGCATAAGTCGCGCGAGAAAATTGCTATTCTAATAGGTCCTTCATATATTTATGCAACGACATCTCTAATACTCTAATACCATTTTTATTTTCTCTAGTTTCTTCCCAGCACCCAACATTCTCTGTTCTCTAACTCTGTGGTCGACATCTTTTCCTGCTTAAATCAGGTAATGAAGTTTTAATATCTTTATTTTTCCTTCCTCCCTCCCTCCCTCCCTCCTTCCTTCCTTCCTTCCTTCCTTAATTATTTAATTAATTCAATTTTTGTTTTGTAGAATTATGAGATCATCAAGAAACTCGAGTGTCCAGACCCTAACATCAGTAATCGTTACGTCATCAAATTCACCATGGTAACTAATGATATATGCTAATTTGTCGTAGGGCCGGCGCCTTTGTTGTTTCCTATTCCGCTAAACATTTTCGAGTTTCTCTGGTAGCGGAATTCCTGCGACAAAATCAACCACAGGGTTCCCAACAAAGAACTTGTCGCACACTCCTTCTTAACTTAAGTTTGCCTTTTTATTTCAGACTGTTCAAAAAGTTCTCATCGAATACGCCGAAAATATCAAGTCAGAGTTCGGACGTTGGTGCGATCTGGCCAAGACGGCCTGTATCCTGATGAACAACATTCAACAAACAAGAATCATGCTAGAAAAACTATACGAAGCCATGGGCGGCGAGAGAGTACGTTATTACACCAACCCATCCTTAAGGCGCGATTACACGGAGCAGTTTTCTCTGAAACTTGTCTTACAACGGCGTTGCGTTTAGCATTGCCGCGTGTAACCTACAGTGCAAAAAAAATTAAAACAATCTATGATTAATATGATCTCGAACCTCCTTTTCGCAGATCTCCCCAGAGTGCAGTGAAGTGTTCAAGGAGCTACAGGTTCAACTAAACCACAACCTTGATGAGCTGTGCGTCATCTTCGTGGGCAGGTATGGTAGGCGATGGGGTATCTCTTTAGATTGCACCTTCCCCCCTTAAATTTTCATCCTTTAAAATTGAGAGTGCTCTGTCTTTGTAGCATAACTGTAATAGCTCATACCAAGGTGGTGCAGCAGTAGTGCGCTCGCCTCTCACCTCTAGGGTCTCAAGTTTGATTCCTAGACTCAGCTTCACATGCAGCTAGAGTACGTTTTCTAGGTTTCTCCCTTGATTCAAGGGCTTTCTCCAGGTTCTCTGGTTTTCCTCCCTCTGAACTGAGAACCCATAGAAAAACCCTCGACTTAAGCAGAAGACCTAACGAACTCTACTCACATAAGATGCCGAGTCCAGGAATCAAAGCCCATAAGTAAAAGATGAATGTACTACCGCTACGCCACTCTCAATACACTGTTTTCTCAAGGTTGCGTGCGCATCCGAATTTAGAAACTTGACGGGCCACGATACCAGAACATTATCATGCATTGCTATGTGTTTTTTTAATAATAATTCTTAAAATTGATTATTCTCCTCTTTAAATATGAAACTGTCTTCTCAATTTTACTGAATTTGCGTTTTTCAGTTTTGTGGCCCGTCAAGTTGAATGCGCTCGCAACCTTGAGAAAACGGTCAATTCCCACATCTTAGAATACATGACTTTTGAGTTGGCGTTATTCTCTTTATTTTTTCTATCTTCCTATCGAGGTAAGGTGGTGTTTACTTCTTTCTAATAATTCCTTTGTTTTTATTTATTTCAGCTTGGAAAATAATGTAAAGGAAAGCATTCGAAATGTTGGTAGTATTCTGTTAAAGTGAGTATACTCGTATTTAGAACTGACTGTAACAAGCACGAGGCGGTTTTAAAAACTTTTGGTAACCTTGAGTTTATAAAATTCTAGATCTGCCCCTATTCTTTTGCTGTCGTTTTTTTTTTTTTTTTTTTT